ATAACACATATCATATCCGACCTTCCGGTCACACAGTCAAACCCTTCCGGGTACAGTATAGTGAGAAGACTCACCTCGCGGGTAATGAAAGCTAGCGACTCCTGAAATCACTCGCACTCGATCCGCCGAGCTGCAGACTCCCTATAATATCATATACCCCTTATTAATACTTTTATCTTTCAAGACAACTGACCCTAAGAAATTACATGTAGGTCAACTCTGGTCAGCGGTCAACGGTCAACGGTCAACTTGACCGGACTCGGCGAGTGCTATGGCGACTCGGCGAGTCTAGACGTCCTCACCAATTCCCTGATGTTCCCTTTCTACTCGTCGAGTATCTCCCTTGGCTCGATGAGATCCTCGTGGAAGAATCGCGGGGCCACCCCGACTCCACTCGCCGAGTCTGAAGAACAGCTCGACGAGTCCCAGTTATTCTTCAAGCTACTCGCCGAGTCTGTTCATTGGACTCGGCGAGTCCATGCCATGCAGTCGATCAAACTGCTTCCTGAGATCGGTATTGTCCCGACCATTCATAGGTCTGGTCCTCCTAATCTGGTACAACACATAAGGCCTTCATTTAGGTGCTCATGCTACACCCCAAGGCCTATAATCTACATTTTGACCTAAGGCATAAGGATTCCACTCCAAAGCCTCCATTGATTCCCGAAATATACAAGCATGGAACATTCTGGACCTCTAAAGGTCCTAATACAAGGCTATAATCGTTTGGAGAACAATGGTAGCAATCAATCTAGTCATAAAAGGGTTCCATAAACCCTAAATCCATGCACACATCAACATAACAGAATATAATCCGAAATGTTACCTGAATAATGCACTCTCTGTGTCCCCAATCCTCAAAACGTGATCCCCTTGCTGTTCCTTTAGCCAAACCCTTCTCCTCCTTGCACAACAACTTCTTCAAGATCACCAATGGCCTTCAATCTTGCTCTAGATGCACACAACCGACTAGGGTTCTTCTCAGTCGACTAAAGACGGACAATGACGGCCTATAAGTGCATTATATACGTTCCAAAACCAAACGGCTAGGGTTTCCGCTGAACAGCGCAGACTCGCCGAGTCCATATCTGGACTCGTCGAGTCCAGTCGCGAACCCGCGACCAAGTCTGTGGTCCTACTCGGTGAGTCTGGCTCCAACTGTTGGATTAGTGTCTAAGTCCATAACTATTTTGGTATGTACTTGACCCGATGGTGCATGGTCCTTTTGGGTTGCCTTCACCAAAGCAACTTGATTGGAGAAATGAATAAAGAGAGAGAGGATAATATGATTTATTAATATGTTATAAGAATAATATATTAAAGGAGAAATCATATTTGTTTAATTAATATTGGTCAATAATTAATTAAGAATTAGTTTTGTGATCAAATGTAATTAATTAAACTAGAGGGGCTGATTTGTAATTATGTGATAGTTACAAAATAAGGTAAGGATTATCTTATTTATATGGTGGACGAATTTAAGGTTGGAAAGCCTTAGAATTCGAGTATGATAAGGATTCAAGGATTATCTTATTGGTTGCTTAATGGATAATCAACTAGATAAGGATAATGACTGAAACCCTATCTCTACACCTATATAAACACCCCTAGGGTCATGAATTCGTGTATCCCTTCCCAAGAGGTCCTAGATACGAATTCTAACCTCTCACTCTCTCTCTTTATACCTTCTCCATTTGCTTATGGTGTTTGTAAGCCATTAGAGGAGTGACACTTGTGACTCTAAGCATTCCAAAGTCAATACAAGGAGGAATTGGGATTGTTATTGCTACATAACAATCAAGGTATGTTCTTAAACCTAATTACATGTTAATATGATTACTTGCATATGCTAGAATTAGGGTTTATAGTCTTGGATTCAAAGCATGTACAATAGAGAAACCTAGATCCAAGCATTAGGGTTTGTATGAGCACATAGGATGTCTTATGACCAAAACCCATCAGTGGTATCAGAGCCTAGGTTTCAATTGTATTGATGCATTGTATAACTGAAAAATTCGATTTTTTGATGTTTGGAGGCTGGACTCGCCGAGTCCATGGCTGAACTCGCCGAGTCCATGCAGACTCGACGAGTCAACTCGTCAGATAATGCTTATCTCGGGATTTCTTGCTGTTTTTGCATATGGATAGTTACCTTATCATGTTAGATCAATATAAATCCGATTTTATGATATATATGACTATATTCTTGATCTAATTAAAGATAATTATCAATTAACAAGATAATTGTTTCCTTATAAGATAATTGATTAATTATTTTGAGTAAATTGATAAATTGTTTTGCAAGAAATCATTAAATAAATCAAATATGGATAATTATGTGATTAAATGTTAATTTAAAATTATTTGTTATTTGATCCTTGTTGTTATGAAAAGTTTCATATTTTCCCCTTTAGGTTTTATAGTTTAAATTTGAACCCAAAAGTTTTGGAGTTTTGAAATTTAAATAGTTAAAACCCTAATGTTTTGAAAAATGTTTCAAAACTTGCCCTCAAGTTTTGGAATTTAAAAGTTGATTAAAAGTTTAATTAGAAATGTTAAATTCTAAAACTCTAGTAATGTTTTGAAAAGTTCAAATCACACCCTTATGGTTTTATTAATTAATTAAGGAGTATAATTAAAAGAGTTTAATAAATCCATAAAAGTTTAGGTTAACCTTTTAATTGAATTAAAAGTGTAATTGTTAAAGTTAACCATATAGTATTTTAAAAGTATAAATACACCCTATACTATATATAACATTAAAAGTCTAACATATATATATATGTATGAGTAAAAGTCAGTCTTACCGTTAGTAGGCCTCATTCACGAAGCTGGTCTATAAGGGGTGTTTAAGGAAATTGCCTATAAAATGGCGATTGAATGGGTATCCACTCTTACCCACCGCACTCTTGACTAGTGGAGGGTCGTTAGCCGAACGGGTAGGATAGGACGAAACCTTCCATTATAAGTATAATGAAATACAAAGTAACTAAATGTTTTTCAAATTCCCAATCTTAGTTACTTAGGCAAAAGTGAATTGATGCAATTCCATGAAATTACACTTTGTGCCCTTGCGAAGACGTTAGTGGAGCGTGTGTGGTTTACCGGCACACTAAATGGTTCTAAGCAAAGGTAGCAAAGGGTGACTCAATGTTTGTCATAGTTCGGTGGAGCGTGTGTGGTTTACCGGCACATCGAATAGGTGATTGTAACATGTGAGGGCACCATGTAGTTTGCATGGTTATTCACACCCGCTTTGTGATCCTCGGCATCCCAGTCACAAACAAGAGGGGCATATCGAGATTTAAACATGCCATTGAAATGTTCAATGAATCTCAAAGGATCTAGGAGTTTTCATAGATTTAAAACTTAAATTTCTTTTTCGTTTTTCATGGTGGAAATTAGTGAATCGTCATTCACTTACCTTCAAATGTTCTGCAATTTGGGTTACGGCATCCCTCTCCCGAGTTGTAGGATATTGTGTTGGGTCCTAGCCTTGGAATTTCATTTGGGTGATTTACCAAGGACTCAATCAATCAACTAACTTGAATTCGTTTTTCTCCCGATGTCAAAGTTCGACAACTATGGTCTTCTCAAATCCCGTGGAACAAGCATTCCACATGAAGATGATATTCCACGATTCGATCGAGGAACAAGAAATCATGCTTCACTTCCTCCTCCTCCTCCAATTATTCTCCCTAACCCACAAGATTGTAAAATTGAAAGGTTCAATATCACTCAAGCCCTTTTGGCAAGTAAACATAAAGAAGGAAAGTCGATGTGTGCACACGTCTTAGGGATGAAGTCACACATTGATAGATTAAGAATGATAGGATTTGTCGGTGAGAGATGGCTGTTGATTGGGTTCTTCAGTCACTTCCTAACTCATATAGTGAGTTCGTAAGAGAGTACTATATGATGAACCACGACGTGACCCTTATAGATCTCACCTATGCTTATTGCTGCTGAATCAGCAATGGTTTGGCGCAATAGAAAAGCAAAGTTGATTGGTGAATCTTGCCTTCAAGACCTCTATGGATATAGACAATGGCAACGAAAGACATGCAATGATCGAAAAGTTTGATCATAAGAGAAAGGCGATGTCTGAAGTAGTTCCATGTGTTGTTCCAAAAGAGTCAATTTGCTTTTATTGCCAAGAGAAGGGGCATTGGAGACGAAGCTGCCCTATTTACCTAAGAGATCTAAGAGATGGGAGAGTCGAAACGTATGGCTCTAATTTAGGTAAAATCCATTGACTAACTCTTTTAAGCTTCATTCTAGGTTCTGAATACATAATGTGATAAGATTACAATTGATGTTTAGAAGGATCAAAGAAAAGAAAGAAGCTTAAGGGAAGAAGTGAGCAGAATCTAACCATGAAGGAATGGATTTCGATTGCGTTTCTCGAAGATTAGATTCTTGAGCTACTACTTAGAGTTAGAATTAGATTGCTAAGAAAGATGTATTCGCATAAGTTTTTCAATGAGTTGCATTGTGAAGGACAAATTTTTCCGCAATAAAATAAATTTTGATTTTAAATTTTATTTATTTATCCTTACAATGGCGTGTATGAAAAATTGATGTTAAAATTATTAGCAATAATGGATTTGTTTCTTATTGTGTTATGGAAAGTAAAGAATTTACCAAATAGGGAGAGTTTCTCATCGCCCAAGTTTCAATTGGACAGAAACTTGGAATCATGCAACTTGGTTGCATGATGAATGAGAAATTTCATATTTGATAATTAGACTAATTCGTTGACAAAGTGTCAAGTGAAGGACTAGGAGATCGAGTACACAAAGTTGTGTGTTGATCAAGTTAACCATAAGAGTAACAAAGATATTCGGTTTAGTAAATATGATTATACTTACAAGATTAAGTGTAATTTTGAATTGATTAAAGGGTTTAGATCAATAGCAAAACAAATAAGAAAAATCAAATAGGCAGAAAGATAAGAGTTTCTCCATTCTAAGAAGAAGGGAGAGTGCTTTTATGCTTTATGATAGGTCTTAATGATTAAGAACCATATCTCAATTGATCCTCTATATGAGTCTTGGTACAATTGTATGTCCAAGAAGAGGAATCAAAGATTGATGAAATGGTCAAATCAAGAAGACAATCATACTTTGTTCCAATAACAAGTCTTAAAGTTAAGATTGTGACAATGAGTAAAGTATTAAAGGTTTATAACATTCATCAATTGTGGAAAGTTGTGATGTCTTGGAATAAGACAAAGACCAACTAGACCAATTTGTGAAGTGTTTTGATAAAAACTACACTAACTCTTGAATATTTGTTTGTCAAGAAATGTTTATTGACAAAGAATCTTATATGTCAAGGAGTCAGTGGGAGTCTTAATGGTCTTGAAAAGTTTCAAGAACAAATCAAATAAACCTTATCGATCATCACTAGCACACGAGTTGAGGTTTACAACCTATCGTGAAGACATTATTTTGTTTCTGTGCCAATCCAATCGAGTTAATTATGCATGTGAGTCCTATGAGTTCTCATTTGAATGCGTAAAAGGCAAGGACCTTGATCAATGAAAGTACATTGATAGGAAAAAGGTAAGATGCTTAACTACTTGGAAGACGTGGTGGGCAGCTGTGCTACCATAAGGCAAGAAATCAAGATTAAGAAAGTTCGATCCATATGAGTTTGAATTTGTCGTAAACTTTGGTTTTAACAAATTCGCATGGATAGGAACACATACACCGTTTAAATCTAAGTGTCATAAGATTTCCTCCTTCATGAAAATGATTGTGAGAAAATGCTTTCACTAAGAAAGATTTTAAAAGATAGTGATTGTAAAATTGCATTCTCAAATTCGATCATGGTTACGGCATCCCTTTCCATAATTTGAATTGTGAGGTTTGGCAATTAGTCTTAATTGTTAAGACACACATATGAACTATCTAAGGCAAAAGTGTATAAGTTCAAGAAGCCTTGATAAAAGATTATCAAAGCACTAAGTATTAGAAACATGAACTTAAGAAATTCAATAAGTATTGTTTTTCTGAAGTTAAGATGTTTATGAATACATGTCGAAGCTAGTGGGAGCATAAGTGTTATGTTTTATAATAATCATCATGATAGTGGGAGCATAAATGTTATGATTGTATGATTATTAAGGCACGTATTGCATAGTTGGCAATATTAATTATAGAAAACAAGAGTCATACTTTGCAAAGTTGTAAGAGTTGAAAGGTTGTTTTGCTATAATTAAGGGAGAGAATATTATGCTTCATTTCAAATCTAAAGGATTAGGTTGCGAAATGTTGATAAATTTAGTCAAAGGTACATAGTGTGTTCTTAAAATTTCGATTGTGATTACGGCATTCCTCTTCGCAATTCGAATTTTGAGAACATAGCAAATAAAACATTGTGCATCATGTCCCTTACGCTTCGGGTATAGGATCGATTGCAAATGCTTGACCATTCTAAAATTTTCCAAATGTCTAGTGCATTTAGAGGGAAAAGGGACTAGAATTGGTTTTGACTAAAATAATTAAACAACTATCAAAGGACAATCCAAAGTTCGACGAGGATTGGTCGCTTGTGAGTAGTTGGAAGTATAGTATTGGAAATTATGGAAGTGTTTCCATATTGGATGGACAATATCGACATCATTACGAATAGATAAGATTCTATTAAGAATGAGTTGTCATATGGAAAATATGGAAGTGTGTCCATGTTGGAAGTAAATATTGAAAATCTATGATTAGAAACTTTTATGCAAAAGGATGTTCAAAGGAATGTACTTTGAGTGAGAGACATCATATCTAAGGAATTGTCTTGTAACAATCTCCGATAGAGGACTTTGTAATATCATTGGCAATAGTCTTTGAGACTTTGGTGCAGTGACATTACAAAAGGATCGTTGCATAAAGTGTTAGAATCTAGTATATTCTATAAGTAACAAGAATTTGATATTCTTACACTTAAGAAAATGGATTTGGAGTTGTAAAATGAGAATGATTGGAAATGTGTTCAATTTGTCTATTTCACAAAAGTAAGAACCATAGGTAAACATTGTGTGCATGCTAGGAGCATGGGACAAGTGTTGGAATTCAAATGCGAAGTTGATTACCCGAAACGACAAATAATGAGTAATCGATATGGTGATAAATAAAACGTGTTTTGTTTATACTCAAAGGTTTGAGGCCATATGGGATTAGTATTATTCTTGTGTTTCACCTTGCATGTTTTGACTTCCAGAATAATTGAGTTTATTAAGAATAATCGAATTATTCAAACGGGCCACAGTCGTTCATATGTTGGAAGTAGATATGAATGAAGACTGTCGTGAATTGGTGTGTGGATTGTCTAAAAGAGTATTAGACATAAGCAAATGTTTGCTGCAACGTTCATGAGTGCTTATGAATATGATTTGAGCATTGGATTAAACCCACGCTCACTTGGATCACTCCATGAATTGTATTACGAGTGATTGGTGAGACGATAACATCTTATATTCTTGAAACCGAGATGTGTGAGTTGTATCTTGCGAATCGGTTGCACATTGATAATATGTAAACGCACAGTAACTTGGTGTTATAAAACATATTGTTGTGTGTAATTCGGTGAGTGAGTGCAAGCAAGCATTGTATCAAAGTTTATCCGTTCCTTTTATCCAAAGTAGGATAAAAGCGATATCTTTGGGCCCCTCGATGGTTTAGTGATGACATACGTAAATGCTCGGCCGGGCTAGGGCTAATTTGATTTGTTCATTAGTCTGTCGTCATAAATCGGAAATCGAGAAGTAGTACAAAGAGAATGATTAGAAATCATATCTCATACGATATCTAGAATGGAGGAATATATGATCCCTTATCTAAGGACACGCTATCTGATATGATCAGAGTTGACAGCGGCTTTGGAAAGCTACGATTGCAGATCAGGATCTGAAGTCATACGCAGAATAGTTGTTAGACTTATCCAAGTGGGAGACTGTTGGATTAGTGTCTAAGTCCATAACTATTTTGGTATGTACTTGACCCGATGGTGCATGGTCCTTTTGGGTTGCCTTCACCAAAGCAACTTGATTGGAGAAATGAATAAAGAGAGAGAGGATAATATGATTTATTAATATGTTATAAGAATAATATATTAAAGGAGAAATCATATTTGTTTAATTAATATTGGTCAATAATTAATTAAGAATTAGTTTTGTGATCAAATGTAATTAATTAAACTAGAGGGGCTGATTTGTAATTATGTGATAGTTACAAAATAAGGTAAGGATTATCTTATTTATATGGTGGACGAATTTAAGGTTGGAAAGCCTTAGAATTCGAGTATGATAAGGATTCAAGGATTATCTTATTGGTTGCTTAATGGATAATCAACTAGATAAGGATAATGACTGAAACCCTATCTCTACACCTATATAAACACCCCTAGGGTCATGAATTCGTGTATCCCTTCCCAAGAGGTCCTAGATACGAATTCTAACCTCTCACTTCTCTCTTTATACCTTCTCCATTTGCTTATGGTGTTTGTAAGCCATTAGAGGAGTGACACTTGTGACTCTATGCATTCCAAAGTCAATACAAGGAGGAATTGGGATTGTTATTACTACGTAACAATCAAGGTATGTTCTTAAACCTAATTACATGTTAATATGATTACTTGCATGCTAGAATTAGGGTTTATAGTCTTGGATTCAAAGCATGTACAATAGAGAAACCTAGATCCAAGCATTAGGGTTTGTATGAGCACATAGGATGTCTTATGACCAAAACCCATCACCAACTCGCCGAGTCCCTTCCAAAAACACCCCAAAAACAATATTATAACAATACCTGAAATTCCGGGCTGTTACAACAGTGATGACTGCATCTATCACTGTATCACCTAGGTATGCTTCTGCAACATCTTTGAGTTTCATAAGAACCATGGATGAAATCTCCTCAGGAAAAAATTCCCTTTTTTCACCATTGTAGTCGACTACAATCTTCGGAATGTCGCTACTCCCTTTGATAATTTCAAAAGGCCATAACTTCATGTCTTCCTGAAGTTTGGCATCATTGAATCTCCTTCCGATCAACCTTTTCGAATCTGAAAATCCACCGTGTATCTTATAATTCTAAAGAAATATATATAATCACTCTTTTAATTAGAAAGGAGTAAAGTTGGGATAAAATACAAACCATAGATTGTGTGGGTAGGGTTTATAGAAAGCTGGTTCTTAGCACCTTCACCAATGAAACGACCTGTATCGCTGAAAGATACACAAGATGGCATTGTCCTATTACCTTGATCATTGGGTATGATTTCCACTTGGCCATTTCCCCAAACACCCACACAAGAATAAGTTGTTCCAAGGTCAATACCAATTGCGGGTGCAATACCATCTCCAGCCATTATGCTTTTAAGTCAAATCTGCATTAATTACAAGATTTATAGTGATTATTATTGGTTTGATGTTTGTACTCATCTAATTTCCAATGTATGTTGAATTTCCGAAAAGTAAACACCTTTCCCCAAGAAAAAGGAAACAAAGATTTTCATCAAATGAATTACCATTTTTGTTGGTTTGTTACAGATTTCATATTCAGTATTTCTATTTCAGTTGTATAAGTTTTATAAAAGCAATCCACTAGTGATACCAATACGCTGTTAATTTTATACAAAACTTAATTGAGTTTCAGAAGTTGAAATTGTCAATCTTTTATTTATTAGTTTTGATCTTTGAATTTGTTTTCCTAATGCAAGAGGCGCCAGAACGATATACTTCTAACGTGGACTAAACATCAAAGCAATGTTTACAATAAAACTCATTAGTAATGAAATGTAGTTGGATTGTTTTTAACAAAATATCTAGAACATCGATACTTAAAAAAAAAGTTATGTGTGAGTTTCTACATCGGAACCAGCAACTAAACATTAAACGTCCCTGAAATCTTATGGATCTATCATCGATCCCCATATACTAGGTTTGCTTTTTGTGCGCAAAAATTAATCATTAAAACAGTCCAATTTTAGCTGGTCCCGGAAATCATATGAACCAAACATTAATTAAAAGTCCTGAAAATTACACAACAACCCTAATGTTTACAAATTTTTATTAGTTTTATGACCCAATGTAAATTTTTTAATAACTATATACAAAATTAATCAAGGTTTTTTTTTAAATGTCAAATAACCGGTTTCGAACTTCAGGTACCGCATGCCACGTATCTGGCCAAGGTCTGTTGGCTGCACCCAGGGGCGGACCTAGGGGTGGTCCATGGTGGCACCGGCAACCCTTAAGTTTTTTGGCTGCAGTGGAAAAAAAAATTGAAATTTTTGAAATTTTTATTTTTTCGACTACCGTGCAACCCCTAACTCTCCCGTGCAACATCTACTGTAAAATCGTGTGTCCGCCCCTAGCTACACCTATCTAACTTAGGAAACAATGCTTCAATAATCAATGTTTCAAAAACTGGTTTGAACAGGTCTGTAGACCGGGAATCAAGGGAGGGAGCGGTTCATCTATCACCAGTTTTAAATTGATTTCTGAACCGGCCGGTTTTTAGAAAAAACCGGTTGAATCGGTCAAAATAAACCGGTTAAATCGAATAAAAATACATGACAAAAAACAATTTACATAATAAACTTTGGTAATTTTTTCATATCTATTTAGTTTTCTCTAAATAAAAACATATGATAAATGTTATAAAGATTTTTCATGTGATTGTATTCATTTAAAACTATATTTTGTTACGATATTATACTTATTTTCTTTTTGACGTATATAAATTAATGTAAAACATTAAAACTTATGGTTATGTGTTATTTTAATATATTTGGATTCATCTACAACTTATTTTTATGTGTATTTTTAATGTTTTGAATTTGTAAACATCAAATTTATGATTCATATATGTATGTATGTGTAAGAAAATAAAAATAAAAATAAAAATAAAAATAAAAAAAATAAAAAAAAATAAAAAAATAAAAAAAAACATGAAAACAATAGAAACCGGTTGAGCCGACAGTCGAACCGGTTAAACCGGAAACCAATCACCATACCGGTTCAACTAAAAAACCAGTTTTTAAAACATTGACAATAAAAAAATAAAAAAATAAAATAAAAAAAAACATTGTGCACAGTATCAAGCTCAATACCTACAGGTGGCAATTTTTTGTTTAACCGTCTATTCTTGTATTTTATTTTACTTCTTTATATACTCCTTAATGTTTAACATATATATATATATATATATATATATATATATATATATATATATATATATATATATATATATATATATATATATATATATATATATGTGTGTGTGTACAGTCTCACTTCTAAACTATATCTTTTTTAACTTGATAAATATCACTTAATAAATATACCATCCCCATATCATTTCTTTCCTCCATTATAATTTAATTCACGTACCAATCATGAACGAGAAGTAATTTAGTATAGTTCACTGTGTACGCAACAATGAATAACAATAAGAAAATATTTTGGAAAAAACTAGTTTTAGGAAATCACATAGTGTTTTAAAATGATGTGATTTGTTAGGAAATCACATAGTATTTACTAAGGGCAAAGATAGGTCCTATGAACTACATAAATTTTCAATTTCATTTATTATATATATGTATGTATGTATTAAAAAAATAGGAGCTTCCTTAGAAAAAATTGAGAACCTACATTGATTTTTTTTTTTTTTTTTTCTAAACATGTCTTGAAAAACCATTTTAAAAAGAGAAAAAAATAAGTTCTTAAAGACAATTTGTTATTTTAATCAAATCTAAATTTAATCAATTACTAAGCACTAAAGAATACACTCCAATCTTGGTGACAGCCGACGTTCTTCTGTTCCCCATGATTAGATTTATTCTTCCATGCTCCACATCCCTATTTCTTCCTAGTCCCTGCAAATCAGAACAAATGTGGTAACCACATCCTGTATCAAGAACCCAAGAAATAGCATGTGATGAATCATTATATTTAATTGTGTATATACCTGCATAAGATGGCTTGATCTTTCCATCCTTGATGGCTTGCAGGTATTCCGGGCAGCTTCTCTTCTAATGCCCTATTTTGTGGCCATGATGACACTCTGCCTCCTTCGGGTTAGGATTGGGCTTAGTAGGATCAAACTTGGTCCCACTAGAAGAAGAACCATCTTGGAACTTTCCCTTGCGGTGGCTCTTTGACGGAGCCTTCCTCTTCTTGCCTCTTCCCTGCCCTATAGCCAAAACAGGAGCAGTGGATGGATTGGGAGTTGGTGCAACAGACTTGTCCTTTAGGTTGCTCTCAGCAGTCCTTAGGAGTCCTTGGAGTTTGCTTAGGGTGACCTCTTCCTTTTTCATGTGGTAGGTCATCCTAAATTCGTTGTAGCATGAAGGCAAGGAGTGAAGAACAATGTCAATAGCCAAATCCTCCCCAAAGTTAACATCTAACTTGCGAAGACGATCGACATATCTCTGCATCTTTTGCAAGTACACGGTAAGATATTCTCCACTTCCCATCTTAGCGGTGATCATATTCGTAATGATCTCATAAAGCTCTTGCCTCGCGCTTTGATGATACCTCTCCATTAAGTCTTGATGCATTTCATACGGATACATGTCCTCACAGGGCTTTTGGAATTCTTGGTTCATGGTGGCTATCATGATGCAATGTACTTTCGTTGCATCACATTCATGGGTCTCAAAGATAGCCATTTCAGCAGGAGTGGTGACTTCTGGATTGATCTTCTCGAGCTTTTCGTCGAGGACATACTCTTTGTCCTCGTAGCGCGCAATAGTGCGAATGTATCTTATCCATTCGCTAAAGTTCGTTCCATCAAAAGTCACCTTTTGGCAAAGACTCATTAACGTGAATGAGTTAGCAGCAACGTTGTTTGCGTTTGACATCTACAAATAGAAAGGACAAAGTTGATTAGAATGGAATCCCTAATTAAGCACCCAAAATGAAAAATTAGGGCTAGGACCCAACAACATTATTCACATATTAGAAAAGGGATGTCGTAATCCAGCACGCAAATAATTTGGAGGTAAGTGAATGATGATTCACTAATTCTTCATCATGAAAAAACATAGGCTAAGGTTTTAGATGTATTGAGAATTCCTAGAATTATCTTGGAGATTCATTGAACCTTTCAATGGCATGTTTAAATCTCGATATGCCCCTCTCATTTGCGACTGGGATGCCGAGGATCACAAAGTGGGTGTGAATAACCATGCGAATCTACACGGTGCCTTCATTGTTACAATCACCTATTCGATGTGCCGGTAAACCACACATGCTCCACCGAACTATGATAAACAATGAATCACCCTTTGCCACCTTCTCTTAGAACCAATTAGTGTGCCGGTTAACCACACACGCTCCACTAACTTCTTAGCAAGGGTGCAAAGTGTAATTTCATGGAATTGCATCAATTCAATTTTCCTAAAGTAATTAGGATTGAGAATTTGAAAAACATGTAGTTACTTTGTATTCTAACATTATACTTTTAATGAGGAGATAGAGTTGCCCTATCCTAACCGTTCGGCTAACGACCCTCCACCAGTCAAGCAAGCGGTAGGTCTGAGTGTACACCCATTAAGCGCCATTTAACAGGCAACAACCTTATACCCACCTTATAGACCGGCTTCGTGAATGAGGCCTAGTAACGGTAAGACTAGCATTTATATATATATATATATATATATAATATATATATATATATATATATATATATATATATATATATATATATATTAAACTTGTAATAATATAATAGTATAGGGTGTATTTTTAAACATTTCAAAATACTAGGGTTTTAATCTTCAATTTAAAATTTTTGAAATTTAATACAGTTTAAATTAAAATTTTAAATATTAAAACTGTCTTGATTTAATAATTACCATAAATTAAACAATTAATTTAAATTATTAAATCACAAGGGATTTATTAAATCATGAAGATAATTACCATTTATACATTTAAAATATCCTAATCCCTTGAATCGCTCTCTAAATCTCAAAAATAAGGGATAGGATAATGCAAAATCTTTAATTACCATATTTAACAATTAAAGGATAATTACAAGATATGGGATTATCCAAATCCCTAAAATTTAGGATCTTATCTTGGGGAAGGAGGCTAATCTCGAAATCTAAGGGTTTGCAACTCTAGATTTCAAAATCTTGGATCAAAGGAAAGGATTCACAAAACCTTTCATGATATTTTCGCAAATTAGGGTTAGGAAACCCTAATCTCGAAATCTATAGCCTCCTAGGGTTTATTGGCTATAAACCCTAATTTGTCAAGTTCATACATTTGAATATACTAATTGAAAACAAGTAAACCAATGGCTCTGATACCACTGATGGGTTTTATACAAACAATTCTATGTGTACATTCAACCCTAGCTTTGGATCTATGTCTTCACTATTAGATATTCAACATTATGAACACAAGAATAAAACCCTAATGTACAATGCTATTTTCGAAATTCACATATAAGGTTAGATCACATACCTCTTGTTGCTATATTGTAATAACAACTCAAATCTCCAAACCCATTGTCTTGAAAGCAAGCACCACAAGTGTAATGCCTCTAATGGCTCACAAACACCACAAACAATTGGAGAAACTATATATATATATATATATATATATATATATATATATATATATGTGTGTGTGTGTGTGTGTGTGTGTGTGTGTGTGTGTGTGTGTGTATATATATATATAGAGAGAGAGAGAGAGGGAGAGAGGAGGAGGAATAGAAATCGGCCCTGGTATCTTTAGACTATGGGTGGTATGATTTCTCAAGGCCTAAGGGTCTTTATATAGGGTTTCAATCCTTATCCTTATCCAATTACTTGCCCACCAAGCAATCACAAGATAAGCCTTGAAAAGCCCACATCCTCTATCCCTTGGACGATTTCAAGGATATCTTATCCTTGATTTCGTCCAACGTATAATAAGGATAATCATTGCCCTAATTTGTAACTATCACATAATTAGAATTCAGTCCCTCTAGTTTAATTAATTACACTTGATTACAAAATTAATTCCTAATAAATTATTGACCAATATTAATTAAACAAATATGATTTCTCCTTTAATATACTATTCTTATAACATATTAATAAATCATAATAACCTCTCTCTTCAACTATTTCTCAAGTCAAGTTGCTTTGGTGAAGGCAACCCAAAATGACCATGCACAATCGGGTCAAGCACTTACCAAATATGGTTACAACCTTAGACACTAATCCAACAAAGGTTTGATTAATCAAGAAAGAGGTGTTAAAGAACAAAACCAATAGGTCAAAGCTGAAAAAAAAAATTATGGAGAACAATTGAAATGGTCTTGGTTATTTGAAAACATAAGCGATGTTTGTTTGAGCGGTAAATTGATATGTTTCATTGAGAATAATGGTCTATGGTCGGTCAAGTTTTAGTTCAAGGCACGGGTGTTGCTAACGGTTTTTAGTCTAATGGTTAGGGTCGACTATAAAGGAAAACTTTCACCCGTAGAGAGACATGGGAGTTTCTTCATGGTGATCTCGTTGAATGAAAGTCAAGGGCTCAAGAAGTAGGCTTTTGGTTTATCAGATGGTGGATCATTTAGGACGTCATTATGTTTCCAAATACAGTTTGGAGCATTAGCCAAAGCATGAGTACAATGGGTTGTATAGGGTCTGATATATATGTTTGGGTGGCAATAGTTTTGGTAGAGATCATTGTGAAGTTGGGACAATTTCAAGGTGTTTGTTTTAGTGACTCGAGAAGTTTGGTTGGATACACATCAACTATCCAAATTTGTTTTGATTTTGGTATAAAAGATTGATTTTTCAATTTTGAATTGTTGGAATTTGTTTGAATGTCAAGGTGGAGACTGTAGTATAATGTGGCATTGAAATTACGATTAACTTCTAATGTGTCAATGAGGCTATAACAAATGGATTATTTTTGTAAATATGAAGGATATAACTTAGTGAGTTTTAACTCATTTAGATACATGTGAAGAAGAATTCAGTTATTCTATGCATACAAAAACACAAGAACAATTTATTTCTTTGTTCATTCTTTGTTAATTCTTATACACTTGTTTTAGTTTACTGTTTAAATATGGGGTGGTTTCTTTTGGATTGAACGGTGCTATTAAATTGAAGTGCTTAGCTACATTTTAAAAGTATAATTTTTCAAGCGGTGACAACATTTGTCGAGTGATGGTCCAGAGAATGCATTCAAGTGAAATTCTTTGATCTAGAAAAAAGAAACAAGAGTTTTTATTTTCAAAGTGGGTTAGTTTTTTTGGAAGAGTTTTTTATGAAAACTTTTACTAAGCTAGGTGACATAAAAGTCTAATTTTGTTTCCATTTTGGTTAAATTGTCGTTTTTTTGGTGATTTGAAGTGCAAATATATAGGGTCTCTCCACAAATGAAACTTGTGCTGGATTGGAGTTTCCAAATACGCATGCCAAGTTTCTCATAAAAGTTCTCAAAGAGATCCAATGTGCTCTTTTGGTTCAAGAACATGGTTTTGACAACGATTTCAAAGGGGTTGAGTAAAGGGTTAAAGGGTTTCAATTGGCTTTTGATCCATTTGATTTTTCACAGGGGTTTCCACCAAGGAAATAATGTTTTGATTCATTTAGTGGGTGGTTTTCTTTGATTAATCAAAGTGTTAATTACTGATGATTCGGTGATGCTCATTAGAAGTTTTCTCAAGGTTTGATTGATCAAGAAAGAGGCGTTGAAGAACGAAACCATTAAGTAAAAGTTGTAAAGAAATCGAAAAAACACACAAAAACCCTATATATGTATTATACTCCAGCGCTTAAAAAATCCTTATATTATCAATTGGTACAATTTAACCATTATTATTTGTGATATTTATTATTTTGATGATCTGTAACCGGTTAAGCTCAAGGAACCGGTGGCATAAATGTTGTGGCATCTAAATAGATGACATGGTTGTACATGGGTGACACGTTGGCAAAGAAAACTAGGTTAAAAAGTGCATCACATCTTATTCTGCTTCTTCAAAGTTATGATCTTGTTCTTGTTCGTCTTCTTCTTTTAAATTTGTCTTTGCCGAAATGAGCGTTCGATCGTATGGATCTTCTTCTTTTTCTTCCTTAACTCTAAACTACAAAAACGTTTTGTGTAGATGTGGTGAACAAGCAAAGATCTGGACTTCAACGGCCAGGAAGAACCCAGGGCGACATTTCATCTGATGCCCTAATTCGCCGGTATCTTAGATTCTTTTAAGATTGATACCGTTTCTCTAATTTTTTCTCTAATTCTTACTCAGATACTTTATTTTTTTGTAGGATACTTCAAAAGATTGTAAATTTTTTGTGTGGGTGGATGAGGATTTGGATCTTCATTGGTATAAGAGTAAAGTGAATGAGTTGCATAGGGAGAATATGATCCTTTGTAAAAAGAATATGAAACTGGAGAAGGAGAACACGAATCTGCAGAAGAAATTAATGAACTTTGAGCTAATTGACAAAAAAGAGACTGGTGTATTCATGGTTAGGTTGATGATGTATGGAATTGTTCTGGTTTGCATCCTCATTTGGGTTATAATTATGTAACAAGGAAAGTAGGTTAATGTAAAATAGCTAATTATGTATTAGGGTGATATTGTTTGGTTTATGCACCTTTGTAAATTTGAAGAAATGTACTTTAAAGACTTAGCACATTATAACCGTTATAAGTTGGTTGAGAAAGGATTTATTGCATAAATTGTGTGAGTATATGGATTGTTCCAAGTTCCCTTCTTATGGTTCTAATGTCTTTTTATATTTGCGTACAAATTAGTTGGACAGTTTTACCCTTTTGGTTACATATTATCTCATTATGGAGATTATTGTTGTTGGTTTCAATACTTACCTGTGTTTTTACATTTTAAGCATTTGGATTCAAATGGTAATCAGATGCACGTAGCACTTTTTTGCATAACATTTTTTTTGAGCACACACCAACATCAATAGCACCAGACATTAAACACATCTGCCGTTTAACTTTTTTTGGCATTATTGAATTGATAATTGGGAACATTAGATGCAAGTAACAATTTTGCATAATACTTTTTTTCACACACACCAACACCCAACGTAGAAACAGAACAGTAACAGGAAAAAAAATAGTGAAACAGAAACAGAAAAAAAATATGATTTCAATATTGTATTGATAAGCTATTCCTCATTTTACCCTCCTGACTCATATCTATTTTAATACTCTATCCCCATTGATTTGGAAATTCAGAAACAGAAAAAAAAATGATTTATCATACATAAATTGCTCAGAGGAAATAGTTCAATTCACCATTTTTGCCCATTGACCATTTTCCCTTGGTGGTTGTTTATGTTTTTAGCATACAAGATAAAATATGACAATTATGGGGAAAAAGAGGAACATAAAGTACATTTTTAGCATTTTTAAAACACAACTCCATTAACAAATAGGAGGAATATAACCTGTTAATGGGACATAATATTATTACATTTCAATAACAAAATACTAGGAGTACTAAATTCCAAGTAAAGAAAGTATTACAAAAGACTAGAGTTTTGTCCTATTCCAGCTCCTAAAATCTAATATTTTAAATAATCCTTCCAGATGGCTTTCTTGGTTTGAGCTTTGCACGGATAACAGGTACATCAATTCCTATCCCGCCAACCACATTAGATTGATCTTCCGAATTAGCTACAAAAAAAGTTATGAAAGTATTAAATTTAATATAAGCATAGAATATATATATATATATATATATATATATATATATATATATATATATATATAATTATTTCTTACCATATTCAATATCAAATTGAGTTTCAGACAATACATCTTGAGTTTCGGCCACTCCATCATATTGAGTTATAGGAACTCCTTCATCAAATTGAGATTTAGGGAATTGCAACAAAGGTTCACCTTCTCTCTTTTCCATTTCAGCCCTATGTAGTTCTTCCTCAAAATTATCAAACATGTCTATAACTTCATTTTCCATTGGTGAATCAAAGATTTCTTCAATAAATGACCTTCCTCCTCTACCACCACTTGTACTTGCAGATGATCCTCTTCCACCTCTTGCCCCTATTGGTCCTTTTCCGCCTCTACCACCACTTGTAGCTGTAGGTGGTCTTCTCGGAGGTCTTTCATCAGAGTTTGTTTTTTAGGCCTACCGGGAGGCTTCTTTTCCTTAAGAGGGGGCAAAACCTTTTCATTCTTGCATGTCCTAGCATTGTACCCTTCTTGTAAACAGTTGTGACACTTATTTATTTTCCCTTTACCCGAAACAGTTGGATACTTTGTCTGTTTTTCATTCTTGTCTCTTTTTCTTTTAATAGAAGGCCTTCCTAGCATCCTATGTTCTTTTGGGGGAAATAACTTATCATATCGAGTTTTAACCCATAAATTGCTTCCATTTAAGGGAACAACGGAAGTGCTATAAGCCAACTGATATTTTTCCTTCTTGAACTAATCACTTTACATAGTCAAGAAGATTTTGGTGGGTATGGTTTATAGCCGCGCATGCATATACACATAGAAGGCCAGACAATACCCATAGCCTACATGTGCATGCCCAACCTTCCAAGTCTACCATATATCCTTCATAACCATTTCTAACCTCCAATAGAGGCCCACTTGGGATAACAATCCAATTCCTAGCAAATATGTAAAGTTAGTATACTATTTTTAAAATTTATTATAGTACAATCGAATTTGAAAAACAATCTATACCTCATCTTTTTGTGCCATTTTCTCATCTTTTTAATTATGTTTGGAGCAACAATAGTTTTCCATGAATTTATGTTCCTTATCATTGCATCAAACCTCTCTATCATATGAAGTATAATCTCTTCTAACATAGTTATCAAAGGTTTCACCTAGCACCAATGATCGCAGAGTTAAAAGACTAAGATATTCCATTCTCTACAGTCTCACATGTCCTATTTGTTTCAAAATAGGCCCTACACCGTTTTAGGATTTCTATTCATGAGATCGTCATATGTATCATTGTTCAACTCTTTCATCTTTTCCATATTGTTTTTGAACTCTTGATCTGATGTGGACTTTGCAACTTTCCAAAATAAGGTTTTATAAATCTCTCCACTGAAACGTTTGTAAAAATTCGCACAAATATGACGGGCTCATTGTTGGTGCTCAGCATCTGGCATCACCTCCTTTACGGCTTCAAGAAGACCGTGCATTTAAATAGGGGTTGTTTCACATAAGGGCCGTTTTGTCATTTTAAATCTGTCAAAATTTGTTAAAAAAAGCGTCCAAAAATGTCAATAGGGGCTGTTTTCACATAAGGACAGTTTTGTCATTTTAAATATGTCAAAATTTGTTAAAAAAATGTCCAAAAATGTCAACATGGGCTGTTTTGACATTAGGGCTGTTTTTTCGTTTCAAATATATCAAAGTTTGTTAAAAAGGTGTCAAAAAAATGTCAATAGGGGTTGTTTTCATATAAGAGTTGTTTTGTCATTTTAAATATGTCAAAGTTTGTTTAAAAATTGTCCAAAAATGTCAACAGGAGTTGTTTTGATATTAGGGCTGTTTTGTCATTTCAAATATATCAATGTTTGTTAAAAAGGTGTCAAAAATGTTAATATGGGCTGTTTTCACATAAGGGTTGTTTTGTCATTTTAAATATGTCAAAAATTTGTTAAAAAAGTGTCCAAAAATGTCAACAGGGGCTATTTTGACATTAGGGTTGTTTTGTCATTTCAAATATGTCAGAGTTTGTTAAAAATGTGTCAAAAAATGTCAATAGGGGCTGTTTTCACATAAGGTTGTTCTGTCATGTTAAATATGTCAAATTTTGTTAAAAGCGTCCAAAAATGTCCATAGGGGTTGTTTTGACATAAGGTTGTTAGCATATATCCATATTGGTCAAAATAAGCATTACTAGGTAGAAAATTACCTTATGTTGATCTGATATTAAAGTAAGCTCATTTCCTTGAACTGTTTCAATATCTGATTGTAGTATTTCAATGAACCACTTCCAATTATCTTTATTTTCTACGTTCACAACCGCCCATGTAATGGGGTAAATTTGATTGTTTCCATCTCAACCAATAGCAGCTAGCAACTCTCCTTTAATTTTCCCTTTCAAGAAACATCCATCTAAATCAATCACCTTACGACATCCTTTCAACCATCCTTCTTTTAAAGCCTTCAAACAAATCTAGATTCTTTTGAAAATTTTTGCATCCGGATTGACATCGACTCCAATTTCAACAGTGCTTCCTGGTTTTGATCTCAAAACATCATTACCGTAATCCCATATTCTAGCATAATGATAAGTTAACTTGCCATCAGTTAGTGTAAATGCTAAGGTCCTTGCCCTTTCACACTGACCTTTGCTAAGCTTTAAAGAATATCTCTATAAAAAATCAACTTTCATTTCTTTGACTTTCGTTTTGGTACTGCGAATTAGGTCACCAAGATAATGGTTAGCAATCCAACTTGGAGGTATCAATTACCCGATGTTGTATTTACGTGCACAAACATGTTTCTTTTCCAAAGATCTCACTTGCCAAGTTAGTTCATTTCCCATCCAAGACGCCCAACATCTAAATGGACACTTATTATCATCGTTTTTTTTGCCACAACGTACTAATATCTTAGAAAAATCACACTTGGCAAACCTCAACCGGTATCCATTAGCCACCGCATAATTTGTTAGACAAAGCTTGAACTGTTCTGGGCTTTCATATTTTCCCCCAAGTGTGGTTTCATCATATTCCAAGGGATCCTAGGGTTGTGTACAAGAAATTGGTCCTAAGTTTGTTGATCTTTATGCTCTCCTTCGTCATATTCTTCATCTGAATGGGTCATTTCAGCATCATCAGATGATATTTCAGGCAATTCCACTTCACCCTGTACCAAGTCATTCAAAAAAGGATCCCATATTGTTTTGTCCATTAAAGAAGGAACATATTCTTCTTCATCAGACTCATCAACTGTTCCATTCACACCCTTTGTATTAACTTCACATAATACATTTGAACTTGAAGTCATAGTTTTTAGTTAAAGCTTCCTTGAAGAATCAATGGAAACAACAAAATAAGAACTAGGGGTAAAAGACGGGTTGATGTTCAGATTAAGCATAATAGAAATGGTCGATTACCTTTTTTTCGTGTGATTAAGCAACAAGTTTCCCGCCACTTCCAAGAAGCTTTCCCTCATCTACGTAGCTTTGCCTTTCATTTTTTTACAGAATGACCGCTATCAAGTTAAAAGAGAACGAATGTAGTCCATGTAGATTAATAAGAACAGGTAACCTAGGGTTACCGGATAAATGAGATAGGTTACATGGTTTCTGAAATTATAATGGTTAAATTGTACTAATTGATAATATAAGGGTTTTTTTAAGCGCTGGAGTATAATACATAGGGTTTTTGTGTGGTTTTCTTAATTCTTTGTGTTTCGTTGCTATTAGCGACGCCTTTTCCGCCGGCAAAGTTCGGTTGCTAGTACCTTGTTTTCTAGTAGTGGGATGTGCCAAATATAAATAAGAATTCCAAAAGGAGAGACAAAATGAGAAAAAAATTATTGATTTCATAGAAAAGAAAGATTACAAAAACGAAATGAAATTTGACTTGTCTTTAATCATATGATTATACACACACACACAACTTCAATATTCAATATTGAAGGTCGAACAATGACGTCCAACTGTTATTGAAAAAATACAAACAAAAGTGCATAACTTTTTTATTGAAATTCTCCACCATGAGAAAATGTTATTCAAGGATATCGGGCAAGGATTGGGACACATATATTTTCCAACAGATCCGATTTCGTAGTATACTCCTTAACCTCAGCAAGCTTCATTCCATGAAGAATTTGGCGGCGTATATCCTCTATCGCGTTTTCCATTTTTTCAATGTCTTCGCTTCTGATTTTGCTTCTTATGCTTTTGATTTTGTTCTTCAATTTGTAAATGTAATCCTCCAAATTGCTACGTGTAGAAATCTTCTCCTTGAACTCCTCATCCTCCATTTTTTTACTTGTGTGCGTCTTGCACCATTTTTTTGATGTCTGCCTTTGAAAGCCTCTGCTTGTCATGGCCGATTCTTACCTAAGTTAGTGTCACCATCAACAACATTGACTCGAAACGTACCATTTACATCAATGGTGACAAGAGATACATCGAAAGTACCACCCCCCAAGTCAAAGATGAGCACATTGGTTCAACGAGTTATATTTGTAGTCATGTCAAACCCATAAGCGATTGCAGCTGAGGTAGGTTCATTGATTATTTGAAGAACATTAAGTCCAGCAACATATCCTGCATCCTTTGTGGCTCGACGTTGTGAATCATCAAAATAAGCTGGCACAGTGATGACTGCATCTATCACTGTATCACCTAGGTATGCTTCTGCAACATCTTTGAGTTTCATAAGAGCCATGGATGAAATCTCCTCAGGAAAAAATTCCCTCTTTTCACCATTGTAGAATAGCAATATAAAATTGAATATATTCATATTATAATTACTACAATACTATACATATTAAATTTATAGTAGAATAGTAACATAAAGTAGTGTTCTCATTTGAACTTAACCATATATTACAGTCTCACTTAAGCTTATGTACAAAAGCTCTAAATTGTATCTTTTTTAACTTGATAAATATCACTTAATAAATATACCATCCCCATATCATTTCTTTACTCCATTATAATTTAATTCAGGTACCAATCATGAACGAGAAGTAATTTAGTATAGTTCACTGTGTACGCAACAATCAATAACAATAAGAAAATATTTTGGAAAAAACTAGTTTTAGGAAATCACAGTGTTTTAAACTAATGTGATTTGTTAGGAAATCACATAGTATTTACTAAGGGCAAAGGTAGGTTCTATGACCTACATAAATTTTCAATTTCATTTATTATTATTATTATTATTATTATTATTATTATTATTATTATTATTATTATTATTATTATTATTATTATTATTATTATTATATATATATATTAAAAAAATTAGAAACTTCTTTAGAAAAAATTAAGAACCTACATTGAGTTTGTTTGTTTTGTTTGTTTTTTTTTTTTTTTTTGTAAAAATCTCTTAAAAAACCATTTTAAAAAGAGAAAACAATAAGTTATTCAAGACAATTTGTTATTTTAAATTATGGAATTGATAACAAAAACTTAATAACTCTTAACCGGCACTTTCAAAATATCAGTAAATAAATTGATTTAACAAAAGAAGCATATATGTCAAAGACTCACACTCTCCGTAACAATAGTCAATTTTGGGTGAAGTCAAAGTCAAATAAAGGCAACAAGTTAAACCGGACGACTCATTTAGCCCTTGTGTATTAGGGTTTACATTGTATAATTACTAAACAACCCCCCATTTTAATGAGAAACCATCATTTGGAAAATACATGTGGTTGAATTTCCTAAACCCTAAATACACTAAACATTGAACCAAAGCGATAAATCACTATTTCATATGCATTGGGAGTGTGTAAGACACTAAAACATGGCTTAATGGGGTTTATGGACCTTGCATTGCGAAGCCGGACACTCTAAAATGTCACAAACGAAAACCTCTCTCAATTGTTTTCACCATATCTCTTTTTATTAGAAATCTCTTCCAAATCTCTCTCGAAAGTTCCCTTAACTTTTCATAGTCTTTCGGGCCATCCCGACTCTTAACCGAGTCAAAAACGGCTTAAAACAGGATAAAACGCGAAAATCGGCCTCAAGGAGCCGAAACTCCTCTTGGAGGCCGAGACCGAGACCTGGAAGCCGAAACCAAGAAAGAACCGAAATCGAGACTTGGTAGCCGAAACCGAGACCTGGCAGCCGAAACCAAAACCCAAGAGCCGAACCTGAGAACCGAAGCTGAGAACCGAACTGAGAGCCGAACCCGCCAAGAACCGAGACCGAGCCTTGGTCTTCCTTCCACCTTCACACTCTCAGTTCCCCTCTTCCGACCGAGCCTCGCCTCTTCTTTTCTTTTTCCCACTTTCGGTTCTTTTCTCCTTCCCCTCCTCTCGGTCCTTCTATCCTACTCCGACCAAATTTTCACTCAAACTCATATTTTAACATAATAAACCCTAAATATTCATAATTTAATCACATTTTCATGAAAATCTTTATTTAAAGAATAAAATTTAGTGGGTAAAGTACAAAGAGGTGGAGTGTTGACTTATCTTTAACTTATGACACAAGCAACCTCTCACACCCACTCCATGACCAGCCATACTCCTCCCACCATACCCAGGTCTTGTCAATGTACTTTTTCATCATTTCTAACTTTTTCCACACTACTAAGGCTGGACACTCATCCTCTCTCCTCATTTTCATTTACTTGCTTTCATTTCACCAAAGATTAAACACTTTTCTCTCTCAATCCTCTCACCAAACATTCAAGATTCAAGGGCCTTCTTCCAAGTTTCCTCCCACTTTTGGTAACTATATTCATCCTCCACATAATTATTTCACTTCCTCTTAATCCAAATCATAGATTGCTTACATAAATTCTGTCACATTATTGTTAGATCTTCGAACCCTCAAGGCATCTTCTTAGTGTTCTTGAGTGGAATACTACATTTCTCCATCATCCATCTACTGAAATCACTCAAGGTGAGTTCATACCCCCCATCTTTTCATGTTTTTGTTAAGTTTTAAGGGGGGGATACAAATTAAACACCAAGAACACAACTGGACTCATTTAACAGCCTTCATCAAAAAAGTTCAACTCCATTCACAAACTGTTTTGGACAACTAAAACATTTTAGTTTTCAAAACTATTTTAGGTTCATGTAGTACCAGTTCGTAGATTTAAAATGGCTACTTGCACATCTCCACACGAGTTTTCTACTATTTATGGTGATTTTTACAAAACTGTCTATCATTTTGAAAAGCAATCCGGACCAGTCTGTGGTTATGGACGTTTTCACCTAAGTTGGATGTCACTAAAAATTGTGAGAAAATTTATGAACAAACTAGACTCATTTTCCAAACAATCAGAATTTACGGATTCTAATTTGGACCTTTGATGACTTTTCTACAAATTTTATAAGTACAGTAATAGAAATTGTTAACAACAGAAAAATACTATCAATTTCATTACACCTTGTAACACGTTGAGAGAGGTGTATATCTTTATATGATTATATGTTATTGCATTAAATGACATTTTGGCTTAGTATATAGACATACATCAGTTTATAAATGGATTTTGATACATATATAAAAGATAATAAATTGTTATAATCAAAGTACATCCATTTCATACGAATATTCGAATAAACTATGTTAAAGATAGTTTACATACATTACTACCAATACCCTTGGTTTGATAAACTATAATAGGTATAGTTTATGATACACCACGTAATGCATACATTTCAAAAGGGTACATTCATACAATAAGGGATTTTCATTACATTACACGTAAATTCGTTAATAACTTTGTGAGACACTCGCTTCATATTTACCATCAAGTCCTGTATTGTAACCAGAGTCTCCTGGAGGGAGAGCGTGATAATTGTATATAGATCTATATTGGGATTGAAAAACCCATACCTGAACTGCATGCAACAGCTAGACCAGCAGGTCTGAGGTGATAAATGTCATAACATTTCCGACGCTTGAAGAACGTTGTTTCAGGCCAACTAGGTCATAGCATGGTTATAATAACTCACAGAAAGTATTAACAAACATAAGAATTTTACGAGGATTTCATTGAACTCAAATGTGTTTATGCCGAATTAAACTTACATCATTTTCTATCAGTAAGAGAGGTTGCTTATACATTGTGGTCTTCGGATATAAGACTACATTACACAATATAAGGAAAATATTGGATTTTCTAAAACAAACCTGACATTTACAAGAGAAAGACTTTTATCAAGTTTTCAAAACAAAAGCTTATGAACTCACCAACCTTTGTGTTGACACTTTCAAACAACTTGTATTCTCAGGAAATCACTAAACATGTATCAAAGTGCATTTTGAGGACGGGACGTTAAGGCGTCAACACTTCATATTTTGTCAACATATTGTACTTGATTTGGAAACATGCAATTCATACAATGATGTAACTATTTCAATTATATATATGTTGGTTGTGTTTGCTTAAATTACTATTGAAATTATGGTTATGGTACTATACATGAAGTCCTCCACCCCGAATGTTTCCGCCATCCTTGGTTTGGGGGTGTGACACCCTTCGTTCCTCCTTTATCTATGGACTAATAATCAACTAGTTTTTCGTTAAACCGTGCGATTTTTTTCAGTTATATCTCAATTGATTTTTTTAAATTTTTAATAGGTGGAGCTTGATCGGGTTAAAACGGTTGAGCTGATTGGTCCAGTTTTTTTAACATACACAACCCCACCCGACCCAACCCGACTTCCACAGGTGTTGTTGATTCTGTTTTATTGGCTTCATTTAATTTGGGAACCATGTGATTTTTTTGTTGTAGCTTCATCATATATATATATATATATATATATATATATATATATATATATATATATATAAAGTTGGATCCATCAAATATGACTCTCCCACAAAGGTTCATGAGAAAGAAGGAGCTGATAGGGTTTGAGCTAGAAGCAACATTGTTGGTTGACATCTGAAAAGAAGAAAACAAGTTTAGATTAGATATAAACATAGTCCTTAATAAAACACCCAAATGTAATATTAAGGCTAGGATCCAATCACAATATATTATAACTTAGAAGAGAGATGTCATAATCTAAGCTATAACATAAGGTAGGTGAATGACAATTCACCAATTTCCACCATGAAAAACGAAATATAAATTATTAGGTTTTTTTTAATTGGTTTTTAGAAACTCCTAGATTCTTTTGAGATTCATTGAACTTTTCAATGGAATGTTTCAATCTTGAGTGTGCCCTTCATGTTTTGTGACTGGGATGTCGGGGATCACAAAACAAGGTGTGAAGTAACCATGCAAATTACTTGGTACCCTTAATGTTTTTCACTCAATCGATGTGCCGGTTGACCATGCGTGCTCCACCGACCTATGAAAAACCTTAAGTCACCCTTTTCCTACCTTGTTAAGTCCAAGTTAATGTGCCGGTTAACCACACACGCTCCACTAACGACTTAATCAAAGTGCAAAGTGTAATTTCATGGGTTAGCACCTTATTCACATTTTCCTAAAGTAACTAATATTGGGAATTTACAAAAACATTTAGTTACTTTATAATAATCATTATACTTTTAATGAGAATTTTTAAGTTATTGTCCTACCCGTTTGGCTAACGACCCTTCATCGATCAAGGAAACGGTGGGTGAGAGTGGACACCCATTAAGCTGCCATTTTATAGGCAACAACCTTATACCCCCCCCCCCCCTTATAGACCTGCTTCGTGAATGAGACCTACTAGTGGTAAAACGACTTGATCTTATACACACACACACACACACACATACATATATATATATATATATATATATATATATATATATATATATATTATTAACTT